GCGTTGCTCTCGCGCTATCCAGGAAACTCTATGGGTTTCCTGTGAGTGTTCCAGAGGTGTAGTGTCGTGCCCTAGTGTAGTGCCCACCCGAGTGTCTCCTGGATGCGGTTCTCGGCCTTCACGGATCAGCTGCACCAGCTCCGGTGAGTCTCCCAATTTATTAATTGGTGATGGGATTTCGATTTGATAGTTCAGATTCGTTCTGTTACGTTCTCGATTCGTCGCTCTCTGTCTCTCGCACTATTTGCCTGACGCTCACTCCGACCCTCTCTATCTCAACCTAGCAGCCTGAGCGGCCGTGCATTTCAGTAACCGTCCGCTCCCGTTCGTGCATCCAGTTGCGTTTGCTGATTTCACGCGACCCCAAAAATCTACAGGATCCGTTAAGCTATCGCCTCGTCCGATAGGTTCTGTCAGAGCTCTCGTTTTGCCGGAGTTGGGCCTGTTCCAGCCCAACTCCCAGGTCATACCGGTTCGTCAGATCCCGATGAAAAAAAGAATTAGCTGGCGCCCGCCTTGCTTGCGAATGCATGAGCGAAGGGTGGACGGCCGAAGGTAACATAGCTTAGTTCTCGGATTCTTCGTTATCGGTGTCAGGTTAAGAAAATACGTTACAACCTGTAATCAAGAGGATATAGACTGACCCAGTGAAAAGAGTAAAAAATTTTATTCACGCTATAATGCATCATATAAATTTGATTTGATCTAATCTGGCGTCGCGAATCAATCTCACAGTGAATCCTTCGAGCCGAAAGCAAGTAGCGAAATTTAATTCCAACGTGACCCGGAGAACAAAGTCGATGGCTTTCATGGTCAGTATAGTGTGTCGGTGCAAAGGGTATCAGTGATCGAAGGGTGAGGATCGATAGGCGGGGGGAGGTTATCTCTGCCAGAGGAATAATCGTGGAAAAGGATCAAAGTACTTTCGTTACTCTGATACAATCTCCACGCTCGAGTGTAACGAGATTGACGAGTTACTACATATAGGATATGGGCTTTAATATTAAAAGATAGAATACAAAGGTATTAAAGAGTTACTTCGGTTGGACTATATAAATTTTTTTTAAAATACCTTTATTTCAATGTCTCACGTGTCTAAGACGATCCTCCTTACATGTACGGATCGAATGATATATTTTTTTCTCTGTCTTTTTTTTTTCCTTCCAATTTTCAATATGGCTACGGGACACTCAACGATTTTCGAAACACACACTTATGGGCTAGAGAGACTCGCAAACGTTTCTCAATCTTGTTTTACTTGGCCGTTGGGTAATACGCATATTTAATACTTCCCCTTTGGCTCGCGTAACAGAAAATAAATCTTCATTCTATTGTCAATCGATATCCGCGACCTCCTTTTCCCTCGTTTGAATTCTACGACGTGGCGTCTCTTCTTCAAAGTCGATATAGCGAAACTCGATAGTACCACTTTGGCACTGTTCGTTCGTTTTATATTAAATTCTTTTTTTTTTTTTTTTTTTTTTTTTAAACTTCGGCACGCGCTTCCCCATGTACGAGAACACGATTTTACTTCAGTGATGTGTATATATATATATTGGAATACGTATATACATAGAGACATGCGCTACTATATAATACATTCCAACGCGCATGCAAGAATGTTAGGGATTTTTTAATTTTTTTTTTTTTTTTTTTTTTTTTTCTTCAATACTGCATTATTTCTTCAACTTGTCTTATCTTTTATCACTCTGTCGACTTATACGTATCTTGGATAACTTCGTTACACTTAGACACTGAATTATGACGTTACCGATACATTACGTCACATGTCAATTACACTTGGGCAAAGGGATACAGACGTTCTACTAATAAAGAGCTGCGAATCCTCATCGAATTTTCTTCACTGTTTATTAATATTATTATTGTTTTTCGTGATAACGTTACTTGAGTGAAGATACTCGAGGATGATTCTCGCTGATTTTTTTTTCATCTCTCTTAAGATAATGATTGTTCCGCAGCGCACGTGTTTTGAGTTTATCGAATGAAACGGAAGCTAATTGTCTTTTATAAAATTTCAAAATTATCAATCGCGGTCGTTACGCGAAATTAGTCGTGGTGATTTTTACAGATTTTTATAACGCATTTTTATCGCTCGTTCTTTGATAATATTAAAAAAAAAAAATACAACGATTGTTGCTTTTTATCTTAAGACGATAGGCCACAGTCGTAATCTCAATCTTTTATCAATCGATCAATTCAATCTTTTGTATTCACATTCATTTACTAGGCTGCCACTGATACTTAGATTTTGTAAATTTGACAATATTCGCATACGGCTTTACGAATTTGATCATTTTTGTCGGGTTCGACGCGATTTTCAATATCCGTTTTCGTTCTTTCATCATCTGGCGCGCAGCTGGTAATCGTACGAATGGAATTCGCTGACGCTTCTACATATCTATATAATGCAACACCCTCGACACGATACAGTCGACGTTCGTATAACTATTGTGTAAGCAATTTAAACGTAAGTTCGTCACTGTGCGAAAATGAGAATTTATTTTTATGGAAAAGGTGATATTCGCACATTACGTTACTCTATCGATACGCGTTGAAGCGGATGAATTGAATTTTTACAAGGGCGAATAACGTTCTCGAGCTTTGCGTTCATTTTCATTAATTGCTTGTCTTCTTACAGCATTGAAAACCGTCCCGAAGGGTTCACAACGATTATGTCGATTCTCTCAACAGATAATCATTTTCATATTCTGTCAAAAAAAAAAAAAGAAGTAAAAAAAAATAATAGTCGTCAATTTTCCCAAAAAACTTCATAAGTCAATTCATCATCCTCTCGATGCAGAAACAATTCGTATCCCGTTAACAGATCAAAATAATTTACTCATTATTCCTATAAATTAATACGTATTTGGTAATTGCTCTCTCATATCCAAAACTCAGTTCACCCATCGCGTAATTAATATAAAAATCGACGATACAGAAGTATTTCCATCTATTCGATTCAGCGCTCTTATCGCTCTTATCAGACGTTAACGTTACGCGAGCTGCTTGCTTCGCGTTTACAATGAATATCGCCGAAACATTTGAGTCTTACGAGACGACGTCGATTAGCTAATCTATAGGCGTTTTATTATTACGCTCAGGTATTATTATTATTATTACTACTATTATCATTATATACAGTAAGAGACAACCTTATGTACGAAATATATAACATACATCCATTACACGTAGTTAACAACTAGTTTATGTACAAAATGATTGCTACATAACGCAACTTGAGTAGGTTCTGGGTTTTTTTTTCTTCTTTTTTCTTTTCTCTTTTTTTTTTCTTTCCTCTCATTTACTTTCTTCGCTTACCCCTTAGTCTCGCTAGTAATTTCACTTCGCACACTTACGGCGCTATCGTACATTTCCTATGGGAAGCTTCTTGCATTTGTTCGTTCTATCGACCTTGTAATATATCCCCGTGAGCCCTTTGATACATTAACGCTCTACTACGCGTTACTTATTGCGTACTGTACTTTGTATCGTATTTACCCTCAGGGGTTGCATTCTCAATTACAGCCCACTCACGCGTACATTTCGTATGGAGCGAAAGTTACATTCCTTTCCGTCTTAGCAACCCTTGGCATCCCTTATGACGATACGCTTCACGCGAGGGTTCCCTACGGTACTGCGATTATTTACATTAATATCATCACTGGCACGAAATACATACGAATAGGCTCTCGAAGTTTTCCCCGAATAATAATGATGACGCATTTATTGGAATTCATCTCGTATCCGTTGAACGTTTCTTCTTCTTTTTTTTTTTTTCTCTGTAAATGGCAGAAGGGGGTGTATATGAAATTGAACAAAAAAATTGTCTCCCTTCATCCCTTTATCACTTTGCCATTCTCGTGCCTCGCGCCACACCGTGGAAGCTGCGACTTTGCCGCTGCTGGATTTTCTTCAGCAGCTATTTGCCGGTGCTTTAAATGGGACGTGGGAAGGATAAAGCTCTTTATTTGACT